TGTGTCCAGTTAATTAAGGATAAGAAATGATCTTGTATTGATGGTCAGATTGGTCACCTTGCTCCTTAACCTGCTCTTTATTACTGAAACAAGTGACTTGTAGTCCTGTAATGCACTGCTGGTCCGATGCCAGGAAGGTTATCATCCACTGAAGCATGACAGCTTTGGCACCATTATATGTAAGATAATTATACAAAAAACTGAGAGAATAAAATGACTGTTCGCCTACATTAGCTAAAGACACAGCGTATCGATTTTTCATTATAGTCAGGCATAAATGGAAACTTTCTCCCCCATCCCCTTTCATAATGAAGGAAATTTAAATTAGAAAACCAAAGCGGAAAGTGTCTGATGCACATATTAAAAAAAAAAAAAAAAAAAAAAGGAACCAAGTAACGATGCTCCTCATCAGATTTGTGCTCCAATTTGCAAACAAATTCAGTTGATCGATAGCAGCATCAGAGTCACCCACAGAGGTTAACGAAATACATTGTCTTTTAATTATGGTCCTTTTATTCAGACAAAGCTGCCTTCATTATAAGTTCGAGATCGGATGCAAGATTAAAACCTAATGGGAAAAAGACAAGCAGGCTTACTTAATAATATTGTACCAAGACTAAGTATGTACAGCAGCCCATAGCAACACGTTAAAACACTTTGCTTTCTGCAATCTAGGCACTGATAATTTTTGAGTGGTCACCTTGGATTAAAGCCCAGCGTTTCTATTGCTCTGTTATGGGCAGACACTCTCAGGTCTCTGGCACAAAATTTGATATTTTTTATGTCATTAAAAAATGACTGTCAAGTTTAGCCTTTAAGCTGCCATTTTTTGGTAAAATTACACATTTTACAATATATTGAAGTCCCCTGCAGATATCATATGTATAATAGGGAATATAATGTGATAAAGCGGAAAAGCAGTCGTAGTTAGGCCCCTGACTCCAAAGGTCCAGGAGGAATTGGTCCCTGCGCACACCCTGTATACTTAGCACAATATAATATCGGCCAAACTGCTTTCAAAAAGATGCTGAACTAGAAAAAGTTGGTTGCCACAGATGACTGTACATAATAGATCTTGAATATGGTGTCACTGTATGTGAAGGAAATAAAATGGGAAAAAAGTAGATATGCTGGCTACAGCAACCAATGAAGCTTTGCCATTGATTACCATGGATAATCAACCATCAACAGAGAAAACTGATTGGTCGTTTTTGCAACAGCTGTACTGAATTTGCTTTATTCTCCTAAAGTAGTCCCATTATTTAGATCTGTAGTCTAACCAGCTATTCATCTATCACTGTAAAGGGTTAAACTTAGAACATTGCAAAGCCCCAAATTCAGCTTTTCTGTTTTGCAAAAGCTCCAGATTTTGTAAGATGTAGCATAAAGTACAGGGATACCAAGCAATCTGTATTAACCCCTAGAAAGCAGTCAAGTTTAATATTTACTGCATTATATAGTATAATATATTATATAGTTAGTTAGATATATATATATATATATATATTATACCTTTGGTTTAAATCCACAAGGCAATGAACAATTGTATACACTGGAAAAAAATAGATATCTATATATATATTAACTATTACTATGAATGTAAAAAAAAATTATTTCTAGAAAGATTGAGTAAGCCAAAAAAAAGAGAAAGGAAAGAAAATCACAGCTTTTCTATTTGCATGATGTTAACAATGAATACGCTTTGTTCTTCCTGGGTCTGGTGAGTTCAAGAATATCAGCTCTGCTGTTTGACTAATGACGGCTCCATAATTACTGTAAAGACAATGCACTCAACAAAAACAGTCCATGTCTACTTCAGAAGGTCTTATCACTGAATGATATTATATAAAATTGTCATAATCGTCCAGAGCTTTTACTTACCCTGGAAGGAGATAACATCTTAAATATATACACTATGTTAAAATGCTGGGCTGGAGCCTTTTAAATGGGAGTCTACTACAGATATTCCATTAAAGCAAAGCCTGTCTCCTCTGCTTTTTTCTGTTGTGCTGTGTGCAATACATACCAAATGTCTCCTTATGTGCTTGTTCTGGACAAACAGTCAAAATACTTGTGTCTCTGTATTCTATTCCATACTGCTATAGGGATGTATAGGAACCACAAGTCTCAGAGTGCCAAAAGAGGTTCTTTCTCTGGAAGTGCCACAGGTTGGTTAGACATTAGACAGCTTAGACATGTTTTAATAAGGCGATTAGCATTGTAAATATAAAACATGTGCTTTCTATAATATGTTTTGGATTAAAGCTAATAAACCATTATGTGATATGGATATTGATATCTTATTTAAATACTGATCAACTGTGATGTGTATATAAAAACTGTCAACCAAAGCTGTTAGTCACGTTAGCTATCTATCTATCTATCCGAATGCTATCTATTCTCTCCATTTGTCATCTATTTACTGTACTCTCTGATTGTCTGGTATCTACTGTACACTCCGAATGTCATCAATCTACTGTACTATCCAATTATCATCTATTTAGTGTACACTATGTATTATACCATCAGTTTGTCCTATCTATCTATCTATCTATCAATCATACCATCAGTTGGTTTTATCTATCTAGCTTTCTATCTATCTACCGTTCATACCATCAGTTGGTTTGATCTATCTATCTATCTATCTATGCACATATCTATGGGATGTGTCCATTCAATCTATGGATTTGTAGCTATAGAATATAATGTTTATAACTAGGAAGTACAAGCCCTCATACACATTCTTATGCACAGATATGTACATATATACGCCACCTCTACTCCATACATGCCTTGCATTATAAATGCAGACAGTGTGTCATTGTGGACAGCTGTATACTGCACAGAAAAAAAAGCCCCTCAGGTTAAATGATTAAAGCATTCAGTTGCTGAGTATCCTTCAGGCTGTAGCTTCCAAAGGGTTAATCTATAGTGCCAGGGGCTGCCCTTCCCTGGCTACATTGTGCTTATTTCAGTAGTGTCTGTTAAGCATCCAGATTTCAATGTAATTCAATTAGTCCAGCTTTAGGGAAGGTGGGGAGGCTATTTTTTTTTTTTTCCTCTTGGTTAGCAAGCAACGCCTCTTTCTCATGTTGCACACCAATCCTGTTGCAGCAAGGAAAATGAGAGAGCTAGACTATGGAAATGTCTAAGCAAACAGCAGCCCTTGCCTTGAGTGGCTGCTCTGGGCTCTGACAGCCCCCCCTTCCTCCTTCTGCCTAGTAAAGTGCATGAGATCTCACATGATCACCCGGCGGCTGTGTGAGCTTCTCATGAATACATCATCTGTGAGATTAGTGGTCGTACCTGCGTGCCCGCTGTGGGTGTCAGCACCCACCATCCTCCTATAGATCTCTATATGCACAGAGTACCTCTGCATGTGCCTGGAATCTCTAGCCACAGCAAGGACTGCACACATTCAACCGCTCTCACAGTGCGTCTGCTCCACGCAAGATCTATAGGCTTCAAGTCTTTGGCTTAACAAGGGGTGGGACTTTTATTGGGGGGGATTTTACTCCGTTTTTGACTTTTAACCCTTCATCCATTTTGTACCCCTTTTTTCTCAGTTGCCGATGTGTAATAAGTTTTTTTTTTTTTCCTCCTTTTTGCATTTTCTCTGTTCCTTCCCAAGCACGGGAGCAGCTGCAGTTGCTGTGAAGCTGGTGTAGACGTCGGCTTTTCATGTGTGTGATGTTGGATATTGTGGCTCATTTTATTTATTTCAAACTGCTTCCTGCTCTTACAAGTTGATCTCCTGGGGACTGGACAGCTTTGCACACACACAAAAAAAGTAAGCGAGTGA